AGATAGATATATATCTACACTAGCATATTATTAATAGAATATGAAATTTTTGTCATATTTTTACGCAATATTTATAAAATATATCTATTTATATAATATATTTACTAAATATAACATTTATGATAAATTGAGAAAAATTTCTTCTATTAAATAATGTGTTTCAAGTAGTTCATCATAAAAATAACGATTCTAAGTTCTACATTATGGTGTAGATATAGAAATACACGTACCTACAACTTTAATATCATATTATATAATATTAAATTGTATAATTGAGTGTATGTATGTATGTACATGAATTGCGAATTTTTACTATTATCAGTTATAAAATTGAAAGGTCAATTATACTAAAAGGGTAATTTAGAAATTCTCTGTTCTGTGGATGTTTTTCTTTTAGAAATTTGTATTCATGTATGGATGTTGCATACATTGTATGAAAAGCTTTGAGACATGTTGAATTATAAACTGATGTTGTTAAAATGAAGATAACAACATAATTTAAAAACGTGGAATCAATTTAAGCGTTTTATTAATACATTAAAATAAATGCTACAATATGTTTAGCGATTACGTGAATCAAATAATGTAAAATAATGATAAATTCGATATCATAATGGAAATTAGAGTGAATTTGCGCTTCAGAAACAATATACCCTAGTTATTTGCATATCTTTAGGCGTAATATCAATACCCATACACTAATTTGATTTTTACTGGCTTTCCGTTATGATTCTTTGTGTTATGAACGCAGCAATATTTTGATAATTTAAATTTTAGCAGTAATAGTATTTTAGCAAAATGCGGGACTTACATATTTCTGTTTAAGATCTATTAAAAAGCTCTTCGTTATTGCAATATTGAAAAAATTGGGTAAAATTGATGGTGACAGTCAGTTGACAAATAAATTAAGGTTAGTTGCAGTTGTAATATTTTGCAATAATGTGAAAAAAAAAGTGCTATGCGAAATCAATCGTAAATTTTTTTGTTTTTAGAAATAATTAATATATGGAATTATTTATTTGCATAAACGAAGGCTCTCCATTAAATTTTTTCAAATGACCGAACTAAGAACACTATAAATAAATTATTATTTAAAGTAAACCAAAAGTGTATTACCATTTCCACATGATGGTGGAATTTGATTTTACTCTGTTTTCCAATTTGAAAATTTTTCATAAAATTTGGTAAATTTGACAAAAGAATTGTGAATACCAACAAAAAAAGGTTGTACAGCGTTTTTTAACAAATACTTGGTAAAAATTAAATTTTTTTTTTAGTGTGTATTGCTCATTATATTGGACCTTTAGAGAACTAATCAAATATTTTACATTTGATATATCAAAATCTTAGTAAAATTTTGGAGTTAGAATTCTTATGATCAAACAATACAATCACTGAAACTTATACACATGTGGCAAGATGCCTTTCTAATAATTTTTTTTTTATTTCAATCAACGAGATTGCATATAAAATAATGTTATCAAAAGATTTTATTCCAAAAATAATATAAAATTTAAATATCCAGTTATTCTTATTAATCCATAAAAAATTGTATAACATATTTTATATGACTTTCTTTAAAAATAATTAAAAATGTTGAAAAAAAAAGAAGAAAATTAATTCCTAAAACCTGTTTTATCAATCGCTCTTTTTCTACTTATAGGTGACTTAAATAAACCAACCATTTTACGAGTAATTTATTTAGTACCCACCATTTGTATATAAGTCAATCATAAATTTTTACCGTATTTTCTTTTCACATTAAATTTTTACTCAGTATTTATTATTGTCGTATTGATCATTCCCCTACAATATACGTAACGCATGAATACGTAAATATACAAGTATGAAGCATGCATAATAATATATGTATACAACAAAATTATAGTAATATAGACGATATGGTCAAATAACGTTGATTTTAATATCGCCACTATAGTATCGTCATTATTATATTGTATTGTGTCGTCGTCACGCAAATTATGTTGCCGAGTTATCAAAAATTAAGTAAAATAATAAAAATAACTTACTATACGGAATAGAATTTTAAAATATAAATTGCGATTTTATGGGCAATCCTGATATTATGAAATGCTATGTGTTATATTGAATCTATTATGGATTTCCATATTTAATTAAAGCACTGATTACACAAGCTCTAAACATAATTAATTGGTTTACCATATTAAAATGAATTGTGGTTTCCTTCTATATTAAATTAATTTTAAAACAATTTATGTACTTTTTACAAGGCCTATTTTAAAAGTTTCAACATACTTATATTAGAAATTTAGGTATGTCGAAATTAAAGAGAAATATAATTTATTTAAGATAAATTCGTTTTTAAATTCAATCATTTTACCTTGCCCATAATTGGCAAAAGTTTGTCGAAAGAAAGTGTTCATAATTTTTTTGTGAAAGTGAAAATTAATTTAGTTTTTGAGAAAATTTATTGCATTTAACTATTGTCTGCTTTGATTTGGAGAAGGTGTTACATAATGCATATAAATAATGTTTACGGGCAATTTATTTAGTATCCACCATTTGTATATATGTAAGTAAATCGTAAAATTTTTTACCGTATTACGACCGGTAAACACAATTACAATCGAGCAATAAAGGAGCCAGGGAAGATGAAACGTGTGATTTATATAAAAACCTTGTAGTTAAAAAAATTTTTTTTCTCCCAAAATTTTAAATTTCAAAGAAGATTACTAAAACAGTTTGTATTTCTAGACATAGGTGAAGGTAAATTATTAAATTTTGGCAAAACATAAACTAAATTAACAATAAGTTTTATCAATTTGAAACTGCTTACAATAGATAAGCAAAATAAAACGAGTTATAAATTTGTTATACATACACATTATATATGTATATAGTTATGTATGTGAACAGATAAATTCTGTTAAAAATACCTCTACTGCCTTGAGATTACCCCAAAATATCTCACGTTTATGTCTAGTGATATAAACATTATTCGAACATGATAACCCATTATTCATTTGACTGATATGAAAAATTTCCAATTTAAAAGTTTTTTTTTTTTATAATAAAAAAATTAACCCAAAATTTATGTGACATGTTGACATTCCCATAAGTTTCTTTAATATTTCTTGAAATTCTTAAAGTCCCATTGAATGTTTGTGTCTTTTCTCTTTCAATTACACTAACTATAATTGAATTTTTCTTATTGTTTTATCAATTATTTGAAATTACCATAAAACAATAATTTAATTTTTAAAATTTTTATTATTGTGTTAGTAATAAAATATGTGTATGTAGAACACCTGATATCATTAAGTAAACCATAAAATTTACTCAATATATCAATGAGATTTTATATTTGCGGTTACTTTAATTTTCGGTAATTTAATTAAAGGAAGATGAGAGAGAGAGAGAATAATTTTTCGATATATTTCTTTTTTAATAACGAAACACGAAACAAATGGGTTTTATTCTCTTTAAGGTCGCCCCTTTTTTTTAAGTCATACATAAATTTCAAGTTTATGTTTTGTACGATAAGCGATCACCGTGTTATGTACATTTGTATCTGAAAGAAACTACATAAAATAAATAAATTTTATATCTAAAATATATCTATATAAATTTTACTCGTGTACATAAGAAAATTGATCTTGAAAAACGAGAATACCGAGTATGCTTGAATGAGAATAAATTTTTTAGGTATTTATTTAATATGTATGTACATTTTGGTTTTGGTTTAGTTTACGAGCACGAATATCTTGGAAATTTACGTTTATTGTGCTAAATTGGAATATTAAATCAAATACGTGCTCATATTTTTGCAGACAATTAGATAATTGAGTGTAGTAAAGTTGAGTACTCGTATAATAAAAAAAAACAATATTTTTACTTTGAAGAAGTGGACAAAAAGAAATATAAGAGGAGTTTAGAGAATATTTTTTTAAATACTCTGAGAGTTTTCGAAAACCACCAATTTATCAGGATTGACAGATTTCATCTTAAATTTTCAAAATTTGGCATAATATTTTAAAAAATTAATTATCTTTAATTTTTCAATAAAAAATTAATTTTAATAATTAAAATGTGTTGAAAATTAAATCATAAAATTATAAGGTTTTGGATAGCGCTTCAAAAAATTTGATTTGCTAGTTAATTCACAGTTCTTCTATACACATAAATATTATTATATAAGGTAATTTCTATTGCTTTGATTAAAAACATATAGGTATAAAAGATATAAGATTGTCATAATAATTGTCGAAATATATTTGATTCTAGAATACGTTATGTGTATAATTCCGTACACAAAAGCACACTTATGCTGAAATAAAATGAATTCGACAGTAAACTTAAATCAGTGCTCTTACATATTGCACATTTTTCATAAATTTTGACTGATTTTATTAAAATGTGATAATTATTATAGTTCAGTTTTTAAGTATTCGTTAATTTTGTTTATTTTACTTATTACTAATTTTTTATGCTTTACGAAATCAAGTTTAGTTCTTTGCGTGAACCAAGCGAAATGTGTTAATTTACGGTTTTCCCACAAAGCATTTTCAAAGTTCATTAAACTCAATATAAGGTAATCATAAATCTAAACGGGCGTAATATGTGGTAATCATAATGACCGTATGGCCGTAAAAGCGTACCAAAATTCGCACTTTTTCGGTATAGTGTACATAAAAATAAAAAGGAGAACTAATTTTTTTCGGCAACATGCCATAAATCCCTTTAGGATTAAAATGTGATAATAAAATTTTAATAAAAATTTTTCAAACATTTTGAAAATTTAGTTTTAAAAAAAAGAATCTTCTTCCGGTTTTCCACAATATTCCAATTTTTTTTTTCTATTGATCTTTGAAGAGATTTTTTTTCTTTTAATTTTTTTTTATTTTAAATTTTGAATTGTTCTCTTTCAATTTTTTTTTTTGTTTTCTTTTTATTTTTCGGTTTACCGTCTCTACTTTACTCTTCTATAACTAACCAATATAAAATTCTTTAATCATAAATTCAGTTATAACGTGTATCACCACACGGTAGGTTGTTGGTGTCGTTGATGAACTCCGAATAGTCCCTATATATATATAGTTTTATTTCGTCGTCATTATCATCGGCGCAGGAAAATTAAAAAAAAAAAATAATAAAACATAATATAAAATAATTTTAAACCTCAAGTTTAAAGGGGAAAAAATTAAGAAGAAAAAAAGAAAAATAACAAAAAAAAAAAATTATAAAATCTCTAAATATTATCAGAAATAAAAAAGAATAAAAAAAACGAGTGAAACGCACAAGATTTATAATTTAAATATTATCTACATATCTACAAATATATGCATATTTATATATTATATAAAAATTTTATGCATATTAAATAATTATCGCCTTCATATATACTTATCGTTTGATATTCTACGAGAATTCAATTTTTACGGCATTCAAAGTTTGTATTTTTTTTCTATATAAAATATTTTTTTTCTTTAATGTGAATGTAAATACATAAACATATATACATATATATATTTACATTCATATATAAATAATTTAATTAAATTGTGTTTATTTTAATTATTTTATATATGTAATTTTTATTTACACCTTATGGTACATAATTATTTTTAATAGAACATTTCTGAATTTTCATGTAGCTGAACAATAAAAAATATTGTGAATGAAATTTTAGTATAGAATTTGTATACCTATTTATATTTTATTGAAAAATGTATAACAAGAAATTAAAATATAAATTATTTATTTATTTACATATATTAATAGATAATTATAATTATGTATTAATATTTTAAAATTCTTATATATACAGAATCAACCATTTGTAGTTAATTTTGTTTTTAATATACAATAAAATATATTAGAATGTTATACACCTAAAAATAATCTAATCAAAATTATTTTATTATACATTTGGTTATTGACCTTTATTTGACATTTCAGAAATTATTATATGTGCATACATACATAAATACATAGGTATATGTATACACATTTTGTTTTACATTTCAAACAAACATACAAACAGGCAACAATTATATATACATACTATTAATGTAATATACATACATACATATATTATATGTACCTACATTCTACGTAAAATTTTGAAATAAAAAGAAGAACCAAAAACCCTCTCCTTCAACTTATTTTTTTTTTATATTTTGTGTTTTTGTATAGGAAAAAATTCAAAAAGGGAATATTTGAGAAAAAAAATTGGTATGTCAAATTTTTGATTTTTTCATTTTGAAAAAAAAAAAAAATAACAAAAAAATTTTCATTCTTAATCTTAGAAATATTTTTTTCTTAATCCTAATTTTGATCTTTTTTTAACTTAATTTCTTTTTACATACATGAAAATACTAATTTATGTACTAACTTTGCATGCGGTAAATAATATTTATGCATACACACATACCTATACTTATAAAACATACATAGTTTTTAAAAAAATATTTTTAAATATCAAAAAAAATTAAAAGACAACAACAACAACAATAAGAACACCAATGATTTCTAAATTTAAATATGTCAAGTGTTATATTGACATTATTTTTTTTTTTTTCGGTGGCTTTGAAAATTTTGCTTTTTGTGGGATAAAATAATCTGATGATGATAATTGTAATAAGGTAGAAGAAGATTTCATTTGTATAGCGTTTAAATAGAAATTTTAGAAAATTTAAAATTGAAAGAAAAAGATCGAAAAGAAGAAAATAAAAAATAAGCAGAAGCAAAATTTGGAAGGATTTCATATTATGTATACATAAATTTTTAAAGGTTGAGGTTGAGGTTATGATACTGATTGTACATAATAAGTTAAACATAATTAATAATAAAAGCGGGTTAAACGTGAATTTATCTGTTGAAATGTGATGAACAGTTGCTGCGTAGTGATTCATATATGTACACTATTGAAGATTATTGCAGAGAAGATCAATTAATATTCTAAATAATTGGCTATAAATAATTTTTAGCCTCTGAAAATTTAAAATTTTATAATTTATTAAAAAAATTGGATTACTCATTCAAACTTAATTTTCTAGGTCGAGTTCCCTTGTTTGCATTGAATTTCGTTAAATTTGAAGTTTTAATAGCTTCTCTATAATTTGTCAAAATGCTGTCAATAATGTTTAACATAAATTTGAAGCTAAGTACGGGAATACAGGAAAAATTTCAATTAAAAGAAAATCAAATATGCAAAAGATTTCAAATTTACTTCTAATTCTTATTATATTGGATAATAACAGTAAATATGTATATTATTTATTTATTTAAATACATACTCAAATCACTCTCTTATACTTAATATATAAAGCCTTTCACTGTTCGAATCTTAAATCAATTGCCAAAATAATTTATAAAATTTTGATTTTTTTTTGAAAAAACAGTAATCATCCAATATACTTATACAATATTCTACTATAGATATATTTTTTATATACAAAGTGAGCCAGTAATCATTGCTTCCACATATATAATCGATTAGGGCATCAAAACTAAATAAAATTTTTGTTTTAAACCAAGTGTCAAATTTTAATAGTTTCAAAGATACAGGGATTTTAATGAATTCTTCTATTAATGAAGTTTCTACTTGTTCAAGTTTTTCGTTTATAACTGGCATTGTGAAAGAAGTAGTAGTTTCAAAGTTTGAAAGGCATAGAACAGAGCTTAGAATCGACATATTATCGGACTTTGCATTTTTAAAAAATTAAAAATTCTTCTTTTTCTTCATTTTTGCCAGTTTTTCCTTTTTTTCATGATCATTTCATATCAAATTTTTCAAAACTTCAAGAAGTTTGTGTACAGAATTTTTTCTCATTACTTAAGCTTTCATTTGGATGGTATTAAAAGATGAATAATCTTTTACAGTTTTGGAGATATAGCAAAAAACAGTTCGAATTCCGAGATTTTAAAGGCATAAATGAAAAATAAATTATCGCCCCATTTTTGTCCCACTATTAAGCTTTTAATAATCTTCCTTTTAATTTTAGCTTTTATCAATTAATAAACATCGTCCTTTTTTTAGCTTTTATTAATTTTAGGTCCTATAATTCTCAATTATTAATAATTTTTGATTGAAAGGTCAATTTATATAGTCATTTTCGATTATTTAGAACGATAATTTTGGCGCTAAACCATGATGTGTATACCCTAGAGCATTAATTACTGCATTACCCTGTATAATAATAATTTGGTGTAAAAATTATTAGAGCAGTTTTTTTCATTAATAATAGGCTATTAGAAAAATATTCAATTATTCTTGTCAATCAATAAATATTTTTGGTTATCATACTGATCCTTTATTTTCACTTATTTAAAAACAAAAAAAAAACTATTTTTAGCAAACATTTGCTAAATAATTACCCTCCTATATTGCATATTAAGTTTTTATAAGATTAATAGAGCTGTGGTAGTAATAAGATAACCATGAAATTTTATACCATTTTATTCGTATTTCCATCAATTGCAATTTCCTTGATAACAAATTATTTTTTATGTAATTTTTTCATTATCAAATTTTCTTTTTCATCCATTTGAATGAACTTTGAGTATTGATGACGTTAATATGGATTATTTTTATCAACATACAACCGCGTAAATTTATTTAAAAATATTTTAGTTTTTAGTAATTATATAAACAATAACTTATAAATAATAACAAAAAATATTTACATTTTATTAAGGTACATAAAGTGCTATACAGTTATATATTGTGTACTTGGGATAATGCACATACATTTATATGTTTATAGAATCACTCAATAGTGTAGGAATGCTCAGTTGTTTATAAAAAATATTTAAAATTCAGTTTGTTTTCTATGTTAGGAAATTGAAAATTCTAATCATTTATCGTATTTGTAATAATTAATTAGAGCTGGTGGTTTAAAAATCTTTTTACACATCATAGAGAATAATGGTGCCTTTTTATACAGACATCATTATTCTCAGACAACATTATAGGAGTTTATGCATTTTACTATCACTACATCTCGAAAATTAAGTAGTTGCTGTGTGTTGTCAGATTATGGCTCTGATGTTCAGTTGAGTTATCAAATTTGAAAGAAAAAATGATTTTTTTTTCTAATAAAATAAAATATTTAATAATTTTTAAAATTAAGAGCACTTTGAGCTATTTTTCCGAATAAGATGCACGTGCAGGAAATAATTTTTGATTTAATGGTTTGAAAAGTGGCACTTTTCCCTTTAAAAAATGAAAATGCAATCTTAAAAAACAATCGTGTACAGCTACACCCTATATTAAAATGAAAAAAATTATTGCATTTTAGAAATTTCAAGAGACGATAACTTATGAGGGAATGGAGGTACCAAAAATTTTTTTACTAAGAAATTCAATTGCTTATACATTTTAGATAACGGTTAATTTCGTCCATATAAAAGCCACTATTTTTTTGGTACTTGCATTTGTGAATTTCGGTACAAATTTGCTAAACGTTTGTGAAATTCGAAAAATATTTCTAGTTTCGGTACAATAGAATATGTTAAAAACGGTATATTTATGACATTTAGTGACCAAAAGTTTTAAGGGCGGAACGTTAATAAAAATTTTTTTCTAAAAAAATAGATTCCTCCTAAGGCACCAATAATTCGGAGGTCTATCTTAAAAGATGTTGGAAACGAACTAATGGAAACGGGCATATTGAAAATATTAAGCTTCCTTTTTTCAATTTTATTTTAGAAAGAGACTAATGTAACTTGAACAGTTCATTTGATATCCTGAGTTCTTATATTTCTGTATTATTTAGATATGTTTGTCAAATTTCCAACCTGAAGCGCTCGTTTTAGGTATATTTTTCATAAACATATGAAAAATTACATGAATCAACAATGTGGTTACTTTATATTTATTGTCACATATAAAAAAATTTTTTTTTTGCCAAAAGTTCACTACATAATTGACAAATTCGAGTTTCAAGGTCTAGCGAAAACAACCGAAAAATATTATATGTATATGTATAGGTATATAAAATTATGTCTAAGTACTTTTGGCATTAAAAATTTCAGCAACAAATTTAATGTCAATGTTGTTTATTTACAATTCCACGGTTCTAATCATTAAAATCCAATTGATAATAACAAAACTTTGTAACCTCTTCATGAAATCAAAATAATAAAAACAAAAAACTATAAAAATAAATTGAGTGAATATTTTTTTTATTGTTTACGCGAGCGATTCTTTTGACGTATGTACTTCAATGTATTTTTTTCATATACGAACTGTAGTAAATGGTACTCGTACCGTAAACAAGTATTTATATGCATGTATATTTGCATATGTTTATACATATGTACCGGTTCGAATATAAGAATGTGCTTTTGTAAATAAAACACACCCACATTTATAAATTATTTTCAATTAAATAAGAAAACATTTTAGCTAGTCTGTCAATCGAGAAAGTTTTCAAAAACTGGCAAAAAATCTGGAAAAAATAAATAATTTTCTATTTTGTTAGAAATTGATTGATGATCTTGTACGAAGTTATTTAAATTATTATGATTTTCAGCTGCAATCTCTCATTGTTAAATTCGAATTCATATAATAAATATAAATTGAAGGAAATGATATTAATATTAGATTTAAGAAATTCGTACAGATTAGATTTGTGAGGACTAGGGAAAAATATTACTGACGCATAAATTTGAACGTCATTGAGATAAAAATGCAATTAAGTGAAAAGTGAAGGATTGCATATATTTTTGACGTCTATTTTTGTATATTTTCCGGAGCAAGTTCATTACACTTTAGTGCAGTAAAAAAAAAAATTTAATATTTCTGAAAATTCAATATTTATGGTAAAAATTTTTTGATTTTCCCATTGCTTTTCTGTACAATGCCGGTAAATATTATTAAAAATCAAAGATTTTAAAAGCTTTGGAGCAATAAAAATCAAAATTTTTAAAAGTTTGGAGTAGAAATTGGGAGTATTTTAGTAAAATAACTTAAACTTCTATAGAAATAATGTAAACAAAAGCAGTCCGACGAGTAGACGCAGTAAAAAATATTTTTCTTTTTTTAAAATTTGCTTAAATTTGTGCTTAAATATATACATCATATAATATGTATGTATGTATATACACATTATGTATTTCTACTCTATATTTTAAAGTGTTTTGAATTTGTATGTTAAAAAAAAAAAAACATTATTTTAATTTATTACATGAAAATCTTTTGGCGAATTGCCACTGACATTCATTTATTGTCATTATCATTAAAATTATAAAATTTGGTGGCTTTAAGATCATTATATGCAATATGATGTACTTGAATCTTTGAATTTATTGCTTCTGATTGCCAATAATCATCTGACTGGTGTGTGCATATAGGTTGAGTGAATATTGCATATTGTATAATTTTTGTTTATTCTTTTATTATTAAGATAAAATGATACAATCTTTGATTCAATCAGTCAATCTTCTTTAGGAATAAATGAATGATTGTGTTTTGTACATTGTTATTTGATTGAAATTTGGAGATTAATTGATATACTTAATGTATACTGAATACAAAGAAGTACTGAATATTTGTTCGTACTTCCTTTTGAAAAAAATTATTTTCTGCCCAACTTCCCACAGTATAAATAAAACTTTTATAATTTAACAATATTGTCTTTAATACAAAAATGATAATTCGCAAAATATTCAAATTTCAAATTTTTTTTTGAAGTTATTTTTAGATTTAGAAAAACTAAAACTATAATTTAACATAAAAGTTTTTATGTGTTATAAAAATTAATGGCGTATTTACATACATCGGTTTCGCAGAACTTTTTATTTTCTAATTACGCGTGAATAAAATTTATAATCTAATATTAAATTTTCATTACGCGTATAATTTATCCAGTATTGACGACTTTTATATAAATTTTTTTAAATATTTAAATTTTTGATTTGCACTTGAAGTTCTAAGTATATTTTTCGGAGAAGCTTTAAAATTTTATTCAATAACGATATTGAACTATGTTTTCACATAGCATCGAATAAGTATCGCAGCAATTCATAAATGAGTTAATGCTTTCTTTTAAATTCAAAACTTAACTGTTATACTTACTATGTGATATGTTAACCCCTTTACTGATTAAGTATTTCAAACTATATTTTAACCCCTTTAATTTGCGGAATTTAAAAGATTACTATCATATGATAATTTTAAAATTTGTTCAAAATGGTATGAGAAAGTTATAAAATTCATGGAAAAGAACTTTTAACTGAAAGATATTGAAAAAGGCTCGAGCTTATTAGAAAAATGGTGAAGTATACCACATATATCTGTGCTAAATTACCAAATAATGATTTCTAGATTTACTTTAAAATTAGTACTTTTAGAGAATACCCTTAAAAGATTATTTAAGATTAGAATAAATATTTTGCAGTCAAAAATAACTTATCTGTTTTAAATTGTATTTACATAATGCAAATGGGGGTTAATATTAAATTTCCTCAATTAGCTTAAACACCTAACCCAATGACTCGATGACCAAGTATTGATAGCCCAATAATTTCTTCGATTTCAGCGACAGCGTGACATTTAAGAAAAATCTATTAGTTCAAATAGGGCTTGGTCAAATTTTTGGTCGCGAAATTAAAATATAAGATTTTTGTTGGCATTAAGCATGAATTTTAATTTATATAAAAATTTATTTAATTTCTCTTCATTTTTTCTAAAATAACAATTAAGCATGTAAGTAAAACAAAAATAACATAAATTTCCTATAAAATAACAAGCTCTCATAATATTTATTATCTTCTATGCAACTAAGCATATACTTACATACATACCTACATTCCAACAAACAATATGAAAATTTCTAAATAATTTTTGATAATTTTTTAATTTGCCTAATTAATATAATAATTTATACAATGTTTCCATGAAGATGATGCGACGTTTTTCGAGAGTTGAATCAGCACACGATTTAGTGGACTATTTGGATCGTGGACATACCGCTTATCGTGAAAATCGATGGAATTTTGAAGTAGCATGGGAAGTTGCTAATAAAGTTGGTGGTATCTATACTGTTATTAGATCAAAAGCATTTGTATCAACAGAAGAAATGGGTGATACTTTATGTATGTTGGGTCCGTATAAAGAAGCATATGCCAGACAAGAAGTTGAAGAAATTGATTTTCAAAAAGGAAATCCATTACGAAGTGCTGTAGATGCAATGAAATCAAGAGGCTATAAATTAGTAACGGGTCGCTGGCTAGTTGATGGAAATCCTCAAATAATTTTATTCGATATTGGTTCAGGTTCATGGAAATTAGATCAATTTAAGAGTGAATTGTGGGAGAAAACTTCTATCGGTAAGTTTCAGAGCATGAAAAAATTCGATTTAATTTTAATGTTATTTTTTGTTTTTTTGTTTTCTTAAAATAAATAGGTGTACCACATTTAGATATAGAAACAAATGATGCCATCATATTAGGTTACATGATTGCTGAATTTATGGAAGAAGTAAATTTAATTATTCCATATTTGATTCTATATTATTAATTTAATTTCACTTATAATTGTAGTTTAAACGATATGCTGATTTAGATTCACAAGATCATGATATTAAAAATCCTAGAATTGTAGCACATTTTCATGAATGGCAAGCTGGTGTCGGTTTAATTGCTATAAGAACAAAATTAATAGATATTGCAACAGTTTTTACAACCCATGCAACATTATTAGGTCGTTACTTGTGTGCAGGAAATACAGATTTTTACAATAATTTGGCAACATTTGCTGTAGATGATGAAGCTGGAAAAAGACAAATTTATCATAGGTACGTTAAGGGAATTATAAATAAATTCAACTTAATAAATACATATGTATGTACATACAATAATGTTTTTCTTTTCTAGATATTGCATTGAAAGGGCTGCAACACATTTATCACATGTATTTACTACAGTTTCAGAAATTACTGGTTTTGAAGCTGAACATCTACTAAAACGAAAACCGGATATCATAACACCGAATGGACTCAATGTAAAAAAATTCTCAGCTATACATGAATTCCAAAATTTGCATGCAATGTCAAAAGAAAAAATTCATGAATTTGTTCGTGGACACTTTTATGGTCATATGGATTTTAATTTGGATAAAACATTATATTTCTTTATTGCTGGACGTTACGAATTTGGTAATAAGGGAGCTGACATATTTATTGAATCCTTGGCAAGATTAAATGCAATGCTTAAGGCTAAACATCCTGATACAACAGTTGTAGCTTTTCTTATATTCCCTGCCAAAACAAATAATTTTAATGTAGATTCGTTACGTGGTCATGCTGTTGTTAAACAACTTCGCGATACTATCAATCAAGTACAACAATCTATGGGTAAAAGAATGTTTGATACATGTTTAACTGGTCGAATACCAGATCCTGCTGAACTGATTTCTAAAGATGAAATTGTTAAAATTAAACGTTGTCTTTTCGCTTTACACAGAGATGGTATGCCGCCGGTTACAACTCATAATGTTGTAAGTATATTTTTGAGCAAATTGTTAAATTTATTTAAAGATATTCGTACATTTTTAATTTTGAAATTCCTTTTAGGTTGATGATTGGAACGACCCAGTTTTAAATTCAATTAGAAGATGTCATTTATTTAATAGTACTCATGATCGTGTTAAAATGGTATTCCACCCAGAATTTTTAACTCAAACAAATCCATTATTTGGTTTGGATTATGAAGAATTTGTTCGTGGTTGTCATTTGGGTGTATTCCCATCATATTATGAACCATGGGGTTATACACCAGCAGAATGCACAGTAATGGGTATACCAAGTATAACTACAAATTTATCTGGTTTCGGTTGTTTTATGCAAGAACACATAGCTGATCCAGCATCATATGGTATATATATTGTAGATCGACGTTATATTGGTTTAGAAAATAGTGTTCAACAATTGGCTGGTTTTATGTATGATTTTTGTAAATTAAATCGTCGTCAAAGAATTATACAAAGAAATCGTACTGAACGTTTAAGTGATCTATTAGATTGGAGAGCATTAGGAATTGTAAGTTTCTTTATGACGTTTGAAAGCTTTATTTTTTAATTTTAAATTCGATTTTCCTAAAACACAATATATTTTAATTATAGTATTATCGTGAAGCTAGAGTTAAAGCTTTAGAAACCGTTTATCCAGATTATGTTGATGAAGGAAATATTTATTCAAAAGTAAAGAATTTCAACTATCCGAAACCATTAAGTGAACCGCCAAGCCCCAGCACTTCAAGTAAATACTGAATATCAAAAATTTATTTTAAACGTTGACTAATATAATATTTTTAGGACATACAACACCGGCACCATCAGTAAGAGGATCTGATGATGAAGAAGATTCTGTAGATGAAGAACATGAATTACAAGAATTAGGATTATCTCAAAAAGAGGACTAATTAAATGAAAGAGCAACTACGGAAATAAATATCATAATTTTTTTCTTGTTTTAGGCTTAAAGAAATTTAATTATATTTTAGAAAAAAGAAAAGAAAAGTTAAAAAATTTTTAATATTAAAACAGTGCCATCAATCCACCGATATGAAAAACAGACAACCTGCTGCTGCCGTCTTCAATTTCTTTTTTTTTTTCTTGTTTTCTATTGAAAATCAATGAATAATTGTTATTTGTTCCTAAAATTGTGTAGTTTATTTAACTAGACTGTACAAAATCATAACATATTTATAGAAATTTATTTCTTTTAAATAACAAAAGGAAACGAAATATGTAACTATCGATTATATAACTACATATATCTCTAATATGTTGTGAAATTTTTAAATAACTAAAAAAGAATTGTTAAATGGCGTTATACAAAAAAAATAATGATGTTATTAATTGAGTTTCATAAATGACTTAAATTTTGTACATTGCACTAGAAACTCTTAATTAAAAATTTATGAAAGTTATTTTGCTGTTCTTATTTTAAATTTAATTTGAAATTAAAAAATTTCTTTTGATAATGTTCAAAATTAGTAAGGAGAAAACTTAATTATTTCCTATAAATCTAAATTTTTTTGTTTCCCTACATTTTACATGAGTAGTTGTTTGCCAAAGGAGGAGTACAAATTAACCTTAATTAAATCAACACTTATCTCATTATGGAAACATAATTAAAACATGTTAATAAAACAATATTTTAACATTCATTTATAATAATTACTTAGTTAAAGCGGCTTTAAAAACATCTTATAAGCAAGCAATCATAACCTGGCTTTAAAATTTTATATTCCAACTATTCCAATAAGTCAACATTTCTTAAAAATTTAATAATCAAAATTTATAAAAGTTTTTAATAAAATAAGTTTTTCCATGTCTTTTTCTTATTACATAATATTAAATGTAAAGAGTTTTAAGTTAAATAAATCTGAGATTATGTATTCAACCATATTCTGGAACTGGCTATGGCTCTGTTGTAATTTGAAGAGCTTTAGATTACGAAATCAATTTTTCATATTGAATATTAACATTTTTAATAACATTTTCAAAAAAATAAACAGATTTTTCAATTGAAATATAAGATTAATTTGTAACCTTTACAAAAAATTAAAAAGAAATTTAACCAAAATGAACAATGCAAAAATTTAGAAATTTCATTTCATTGGGTTGTAGAATTCCCAGACTATTTTTTAGTTGTTACGTTTCCATAATTATAATATTTAACATACAGATACCAGAATAACTAGGATTATATTTTATAACATAATTTTAAATTTAAAATTATTTAATATTCATGTTTGAAATTATACTCGTATACATATGTACATTCATTTATAAATTACGTAATTCTATATATACACACGTTTATCTTAAACTTTGCTATGTACTTTGATTTTTCAATTCTTATAATATTAACCGATATACATTAGGAGATTTCTTTAATAAATAACCTTGACTATTAAGTGATTCTACTAAATCAATTATATTGTCATCTAATCCTTTTAAAGATGCTATTTCTTTTAATTCTCTGATATCAAATATTTGTTTGTCTTGAGCTCTAGATGCCTGTTGTAATAATGTAAGAAATATTTTAATTTGAGATGCACGGCTTTTTCCAGATCCAGTTCCAGATCCAATAGTTGTATCTAAATCTGGAACTGTTGTATCTGTTGTAAAAACATTCATCATACTAAAACGAAATATTGAAATTACGTCCATGGCATGATTTAAAGTTGCTTCTTGTGATAAATCAGCTCTTGCTCTAGCTTGTGTTAAGCGTATCAAACCTTCAAACTGCCTAAAAAATTATTAAGAAACTCAAATGTTTCTATTATAAAATATTAATTTTATATTATACCTTGCTGTTATAGGAATTAAATTGGAACATATTGATATTTGTCTTAATTCTATATAAAATTGTTGTAAAGCCTCACCAGCTTCATCCCTAAGTTTTGGAAAGCAATTCTTTTTTGCATAAGCTACAATTGATATTGAAAAGAATATTTAACAATACTTAATAGTTGGAAATTAAAAACCTATGTAACGTTGCATTAATGGTCTGGGTAATAAATCCATATCTTCGCCAGGTCTGAGTCTTAACCGATCTTCTAAATCTTCTTCTTCATTTGCCATGAATGAGTCGCGAAGTGTTTGATTTCGACTGGAGTTATTACCAAAAGAATTTTCTGTTGGTTCTTTTCTATTTCCAGATAAATATGATTGAATATGTTCTGTTAGCATACTATCAAAATTTTGATTAGGCTTATCCACCATAATAAAAATTAAATCAAAACGTGATAGTAGGGGTATGCTCATTTTTAGATTTTCCATTACGGTTTTTGAACGATTGTAGTGACCACATTCTGGGTTAGCTGCAGCTAATACACTAGTACGAGCTGGTATAGAACAATAAACACCGGCTTTTGCGACTCCAACTGTTTGTTGTTCCATAACTTCTAATACGGCTTGCTGATTTGCTCGAGTTTTATCAAATTCATCAATGCAGCAATGTGCCCCATCAGCTAATACTAATGCTCCACCTTCTAGTTCTCCACCATTTCTTCGATTAGTTACAGTAACTGTTAAACCAGCCACGGAGCTACCACAACCACTAACGAAAATCTCTAAAAAATTTATATCAAACAGAATTATCTCACATTTTTATGATATGTTTATTACCTTTTGAAGAAATTTGTGAACAACTTTTTAACATTTCAGATTTACCAACTCCAGGATCTCCTACCATTAAAACATGAATTTCAGATCTAAGTCCATGTTCATTACCACAACCACCAAGTAAGGCCAAAACCAATCCGGCTTTAACCATTTCATGCCCAAAAATTGAGGGGCATAGTGATTGAACTAGTAATCTAAACGGTGATGGTTCTTCTTTGATCATACTAACTGCCTGTAAGTCTTTTTCTGTAAAGGCCGATATATTTTGATAGCTTTTCTCTTTAAATATTGATATTCCATGTAAATATAATTTTAAACCATCTTCTTGTCGAAAATGGTTCTCTTGTTGGGAGCGAACTTTTAAAATCCCCGTTAAAATAACATCTTCACCAGGGGCAACTTTGTCAACTAATTCATTTAATAATTCGATTTCAATTTGCTTTATTTGTTTAGTTTCATCCCCTTGTTTACCTCTAGTAACAAGCTGTTGCACTCTAATAGTTTGATATTTCTCTAACCGATTGTAAGGTGAATTCAATAGAATTTTGAATTTACTTTTATTGTTGCAACCACTTTTTTTACATGAATTTGGCTCAATAACGATACCATTTTCCTGTTTTACAATCATCTGACTATGGCAAATTAAACATTCGTATGTATTCCATGAAGAAATTAGTGCTGACTCTCCAGTTTGAACCACGGTTCCACGAATAGATAGTAAAGATTCATATTTTTTAGATCTAATTGACGCTAAGTCTTCTATAGGACTGAAATTTTCTAAGTATGCTCGAAAAATTTTAAATGATGTCCTTTTACGAATAAATGTTGTGGTAGAATTTAATTCATTTTGAATTTCGGAACATTTTAGACAAAGTGTATGCATTGCTAGTCCAGCGGCAGATAATGTAATTTCTGGACTTTCTATTAGATCCTGGTGAAAATTATTCCAACTGGATTTGAATTTTGAATCATTCTTTATAAAAACTAAATCTAATTTAAATGTATGACTGGAATATATTTTTACCAAATTGTATTGTTCTGGATTATCTTTAAAATGAGTTTCAAAACTTTTAATTTTTTTAATAATTGGAGAATCCGCACTGTATTTTTCATTTGAAAAATACAACTTCCACGAACCATATGCTTCATTTGGACTTATTTTATCAAGAAGAAATGAATGATATTGTCCTAATGGCAGTGTTATACTTGGTACTGAATTGTTTGATGTGTTTCTACTTGTATTTGATGCACTTACATTTGAATTCCTTCCTGTTAATGCAGAATTATTTAAATTTGAAGAGCTTTCGGATCCAGAAACTGGTAAAAGAATTATCGTTGGTTTTATTTGAGGTAAATTCTGTCTTTTTTTCATCCAGTATGGGTTGAAATTGCGATAAAAATTGTTTTTAGGTTTGGCACCTGTTGGCTGCCTACTCGTATTTAAATTTATCTGGCTTGAATTCGCCATTGGATTAAAAGAATATTATTTAAAGTTATCAATATCAATATGAAAATTAAAATTTAGAATTTAAATATAAAAACAAAATAAAGCAAAGTAAAGAAAGCACAGCTGACATTTGTTTAAAAATATTTTGAGTGCTGCCAGTTTTCGATTCTTAAAATGAAAATGGAAAGTTTACAGGAAGCGCTATCTATTGGTTTTCTATAAAGTGAAATTACTAAAATCTTTTCGCTCAGTTTATTTACTTTTTCGAAATTAGAAATTTTTTTTAAACAATATTTCAGCGCCATCTTGGATTTAGTAGTAAATATATCAGTAATTTGGTATTTCTCAAAAATATATATGAATCTTTGCTTATAAGTAGATGAGGCCGGTGTTAATTGTTAAAAAGAAAAATTTGAACGATTTCAGATCGGAATTTAGAATAGATTTCAGATTGGATTTTGGTAATTTCTTTAATAGAATTCTTCAATGAGTTTATGTAGAGTACACTGAGTACACTGAGTTTATGTAGATTTTAAAGAACTTTGCACAAATCGCCCCATAAGATTTCAATATTTTTGTATAGCAATTTAACTTAGCAACCACAATAATACTAAAACCTGTTGGATCTGAATTGTGTTAAAATCGCTGCAAAATATTAGGCAAAAATTCGACGAATGTTTTCATGAAATCAAACTGTTGATTAAATTAATTAAAGCATTTTCCGGTTAGAGTAAGTGTTAATTTACTGGTTTTGTGAAATTTCATTAAAACTAGTACAATCTTCTCAAATACTCCAGGATCCTATGTTAATTTTAAATAATTGATTCGACCTATAAATTTTTGATGATATTTCAATAAGGAATGCGGGAGATTGCGTTTCCCTGAATTTTTAAATTTTTTTCTGAATTTAAAAATTCCATCTGGTTAAGATACGAGTACAATATTATGCTTAAATCTGCTTAAATCTCAATAAGCTTTAAGAAAAAAGAATTTTCAAAAAGGATGGCGGTAATATATGAGTGGATCAGAGCCAGAATGGCCTATACCACACGCATTTGTCTTTTTTGGATTATTTTAATTGTTTCAATTAACCGTGGAGCTTTCTAGAATTTAATATTTGAGCTGGTTTTTTTTTAAAGTTGCATAAGTCAATTTTTTCATATATTGAGACATTTAAGGGTTTGCGTTTAAATCAACTTAAAGTAATTGGCCATAATAATACAATTTGTTTATTTTAGGTCTAAATAGAACTCTATTGTAATTGTGATTGTAACTGTGGAGAGAAGGTGTCTATATCTCATCAAAATTAACTTTCATTTAGTTTTCTTAAAAAGTGCAATTATATCACTTTCAGTTTTTCAATGTTCATTTCTTCAATATTTTGCGGTTCTGAACAACATCAAAAATCTGATTTTGGAGTAACATATTACAAATTATACCCATGTGCAATTTCAAAATGAATTTTTTTTTGATTAGAATAGAAAACCAAATAATCCTTGTATAATGAGAACAATTTTCCAAATGTATGCATGTGCGCACGTAGGCTTCATTATTATGATTATTGTTATAATTCAGTTGTAATGTAACTATAAACTCAACTTTCTATATATATATGTATATATATTGTGAACATCCGTACACACACGGTGTATTAATTATAAAATATGAGTAAAAGTAAAATATGTGCATGCATATATGAAGCTGCCTAATGGTATGTAGTAATAGTAAATGCACAACTGCCTAAACATCAGCTAAAACATACCAATAGGTAATATGTAAATGACAGTTATTCTATATAAATATATATTTATTTATAATAATATTTATTAAAATATTTCAGGATAATTGAGGAAGCATAGTAGAATCGCAGAATACAAAAGTCTTTGTTTTCTAAACTCTTCTTTCTTTCCAAACATAATGTGTCTAAATATGCTTATGTACCAACATAAAATTTTCCAAACAATTGCAGTACACATGTAGGTCTACATCAGGGATGGCAAATAGGGTTTGATCAAAGTGCCAAAATTTGGGGAAATTTATTGTCACACTTTTTCCCGTGCCAGCACAGTACCAAGTACAGGTATGGTTAGGTAAATACAATATTATGACAAGTTGTAATAATATTTATTTATACATATTATAGTTCAAGGTATAAAAATTAATAAATACAGATAGAAAAAATATTAATTTAATTTTTTATCAGAAACTTTTTGTTTCATATTACTTGCAAGAGTTTTTATGTCGGGCTGGTACATTGTTGACTGCAGAGTAATACATGCTGCCGAATCTTACTCTGTTAATCTGTTTCTAGTCTTTGAATGTACATGATTCAAAACGGAAAAAAGACTTTCGCAAGAGTAAGTGGAAGAGAAAATCGTTAACAACGAGATTGCTAATTTTTTGACTGAATAAAAGGTATCTGGCATACTATTCCAAGCTTCTAAAATTTTACTTTCCATGAAACATTCTGATTCCACATTTTGGGATCGATGGCTTTCTAAATCTTCAACAAGCTTCCGCATATTCACAAATTTATTTACCCAAATTGGATTGGATTGCAGATCAATAATTTGCATTTCTAAATGATCTAATCGCATCCAATTAAGGAGGTTATTGTCACAATCTTGCATATCAAATAAATCTGGGTAATTAATAATTTTTAAAATATTTTCGATCCTTTTAAAATCGAGAAATCTTTGTGCAAACTGTTGCTTAATAGAAACAAGAATATTTGTAAATTTAAGGTGAAATTCCAATTAGTTTTTTCAAAAATGTGTATTTCATCAAAAAAAACAAAAATAAAAAGAATATAACATTTGAATATGTTTGGTTTTGAATATTTGTCATTTCGCTATTAGGAAATTATCATTTTTAGGAAATTTTTCATTCAATCAATTTTTCAACGAGTTTTTAGATTTTTTATTAGAAAAAAAATCTATATAAAAATTTGTCGAGGCACAACTATAACGTGCCATCAAATTTTTTTTCCGTGCCAAGTTTGGCACGCGTGCCCTTTAATTGCCATCCATGGTCTACATTACAATCAAATAATAAAATTATTATAAATAATTCTTTTAATAAAATATTTTTATTTTAATATTTAACATATGTACGTACATGCACATACACACATACGTAGTATTTAATTTAGGTCCATTTTTGTTTCTTTAAAACAATTGAAATTATTTCAATTAAAAATTAAATTTTATGAATGTTGTAATTATGTAAAAAAATATTTTTATATTGTTATAAATAGAACAGGTGAATTTTTTTTTCATAGAGAGTAGGAACTCACATATTTAAGTACATGTGTATGTGTGTGTGTGTTTATAAATTTATGTTAACATAATTATTGTGCGAGTGGAACGTAATATTGTTTTTTTGTATAATTGGATCAATATAAATGAGGAGAAAATTTTTTGACCTATTTTAGAAAATGTGCTTGTTTTTTTTTATAATAAAATGTAAAATACGTGCAAGAATTAGTTAAATTGAGTGCGTTATTGAAAAGAGATCGTAGAAGGAATTGTGGGCATTATGGCACAGTTTTATGTTGATATTAAATAAAATCAGTGACCTGTACCTAACTTAAGCTGAGACATTTTGAGAATGGCTCTACAATAAGTTTCAATGTGTTTCATCTCATAGCATACACAACATATCGAAGGTCCGTTTAGTGACCAATTTGGTGAGCGATTCGTCAAATATCAAAAAGAACATTTAAAAATCTTTAAATATTTATGTATGCTGCATGCAATTAAATTGCTTAAAATCCTGAATTAAAAGATGATTGCTCTATGTTCGTTTGTATGTACATGTGTAATTCACGGTGTATAAAATATCGTAATTATTATACAATCTATGAAACGAGTTGTTTATTTGGAAAATTGTGTCTAATTCAATCTTCCCTACATCATATGCATTTTAAAACCAAGTAAAGTTCTTGGCTTTGATGATGCTTGGTTATTTTGGTCTATTTTTTATTGTTATTTAAAGTTTGCATATGTAATCACATTGCATGCAATAAAACAGGTATTGCAAACGTGGAAAAATATAACATGCTGTGTTTTCTCATAATTTATGAAGAAATCACAAGAATAATATATGGACCTCTTTTTCTATGAAAATTTTATCGAATTTTTCTTTGTGGGTGTAACAATGTGATAAACTTTTACGGGATACCGATTCCTTAGAAGGACTAAACTTGTAGAGTCGAATTCCACATTTAAGTTCTCAACGAGATTTTTTTTTAAACGACATATTGTTAGTTCCATTCTTTGCCTTTCATTCGAGGTATATATCGTAAGTAATAGACCTTGTCGATTTGAATTTTTAAAGTAAATTTTGTTGCTGTTTCGTCATATGACGCCGGTCATATATAATGCAAAAGCTTTTGGAAAGCATTCCACAGTAAATTTTAATCAAATGAAGATCAAAAAGACCACAATGCTGAAGCCTGTTACCAGTATTCAAATAGTCTCTTTAATTTTTAAAAGTTTGTCTCTCAAAATATGAATACAAAATGAGTGCGGTTTCATTTTGGATAATTATTCAAATTACCGCTTTTGGTGTTGGCATCTAAAGCTAGAATAACAATAATAAATACAATTGTCTGTCATGCCAATAATAAATATTCTCTCTTCTTTTATTCAAAGACTAGTGACTACACAATTCTCATTTACTTTAAAAGAAAAGATTCTTTCTCATTTATTTTTAACAGCAAATAGAGAGAATTTTTTTTTATATATAATTTTCTTTTAATAGTTGAACTCATAAGTTAATCACATTTAATTTTACTGTTTTTATATACTGTCGTACAGTATTAATGTTTTTTAAGTCTATTAAATTTCTGTACACATAATAAAACATCAAATAAATATAAAAAAAAAAACAAAAAAAAAAATAATAACTTTTTTTTCTATAAGGATATTTTTATACAGGTTAATAATATGAAATGCATATTTAAACATGGTTGGTTATATGTTCAGGGTGTTTCGTATTCAAGTGCACTACTATGTACC